ACACACATATATGTGAAAGTGTGTACATACACACACCTGAACTAATGCATCTTGCATACACTAATCTTCACCTTGTTTCTCTCCCCTTGAAAAAATGCATCTTTGAAGGAGGAGGATACAGCTCAGTGGTATGCTTAGCATGCACAAGGTCCTGGGTTCAATCCCCAGTACCTCCATTAAAAAAATAATAATACATAAATGTATCTAATTACCTCCCCCCCAAAAATGAACAAATAAATTAAAATTTAAAAAATACATCTTTGAGCTCATTCAATAAATACATAAAGAATTGCCTTGTTCTTTTTCATAGCTGCATAGTATTTCCCAGTTTGAATGTACCATAATTTAACCAGTCTCTCTTATTGGTGTACGTTTAGGTTGTTTTTGATGTGTTACCATTCCCAATAACATTGCTATATACCATCATCCATACTTTAATTCAGCATGTATGATTGCATCTGTAAAAAACATTCCTGGAAGTTGAGTGACTAGGTCAAAGCATAAGTGCATTTTAATTTGGACAAATTTTGCTAAACTGCTTTCTGTGGATTTTCCCCTCAAACTTTATAACATGGCCTCCTTGTTTATTTCCTTCCTGTCATTGTCACGTTTAGGTGAACTGAAATTGTCAAAAATTCAGAAAAACGTGAGGGACAACATAGGAGACAACATCTCCTTGTTCAGCTTGGGGATAGGATTCGATGTCGATTATGACTTTCTGAAGAGGCTGTCCAGTGAAAACCGTGGGATCGCTCAAAGGATTTATGGAAACCAGGACACTTCTTCCCAGCTCAAGGTAATATTTTTTATGCCTTTTTTTTCTTTTTCCTTCAGTTGAAATCATTCAACTAGCAATAGCTGGTGCCTAAATGAAGATGGCTGAGTTTAAGTAAACATTGGCATTATTTCAGTGATAGCAGGTTGCAAGAATCTGGAAGTGTTCCAATTCCTTGCTCATGCACCCCACCCCCACTTGTGTATCTGCACTAACAGTGAGATGAGAGGCAGGAAGGTGATGGGTACACAGTTCTTTATTCCCTGAAGAGGTCTTGGGAGGCGCCGTCAAATCTTCTTGTGGCTCTCAGTCTGCTAAGCAATCAGTCCTCCTAATCGTCATGGCCACTCTTTTCCCTTTCAAGTAGACTGGCATCTTGGAAATCCACTTTTAATGGCGCAACACAAATCAAGCTATAACCTATACATTTCCTTAAATATAAAGGATATGAATTACTTGTTTATTTTGACTAAATGGACAAGAAGAAGATGTAGGAGAAGAAAAATATACTTTACCCCTCTCCCCTGTCAGTTCCAGGTACCGTTTATCAACAGCAGGTGCCATATTTAAACCTGGGAACAGGGAAGAGACGGGTTCTGATTTGGGGATGTCAACCCAGGTGACTTATCTTTTTTGTTGTTAAATTGTTCGACTTTTCTAATTTTTATATATATATATAATATATATATAAATGTATATATATTCTAATATATATATATAATATATATAAATGTATATATATTCTAATATATATATTATATATATATAAATGTATATATATTCCTTTATATATATATATATATATATAATATATATATATGAAGTCTAGTCAGTTTACAATGTGTCAACTTCCGGTGTACAGCAGGATGTTTCAGTCATCCATATGCATACATATATTCGTTTTCATATTCTTTTTCATTATAGGTTATTACAAGATATTGAACATAGTTCTCTGTGCTCTACAGTAGAAACCTGTTTATCTATTTTATATATAGAAGTTAGTATTTGCAAACCTTGAACTCCCAGTTTATCCCTTCCCACCCCTTTTCCCCCCTGGTAACCATAGGTTTATTTTCTATGTGTGAGTCTGTTTCTGTTTTGTAAATAAGTTCACTTGTCTTTTTTTTCTTTTTTTGTTTTAGATTTCATGCATGAGTGGTATCATATGGTATTTTTCTTTTTCTTTCTGGCTGACTTCACTTAGAATGACGATCTCCAGGTCCCTCCATGTTGGCGGCTGACTTATCTTATTATGAGTGTCCATGCGCTTTTCATGCTGGTCGTGACAGAAGGAAAAAATGCTGGGCTCTTACATCCAGAATAATTGTCTTAACAAGAATGATCACCTCTGTTTCAGTTCACGTAATCACAGTGAGAGTTTTCCGTAGCTTTCCACAGAGATGCTGGCAGAACACACTGAGAGATACCTGCTAAGCACTTGAAGAATCTTAGAGAACAATGCTTGAGAGCTATAAAGTGGTATGAAAATAGTGATTTCTCTCTCTCTCTCTCTTTTTAATGAATTACAGAAATTCTACAATCAGGTCTCTACTCCCTTGCTGCAGAACGTTCAGTTCAACTATCCCCAGTCGTCAGTAACGAACATCACTCAGAACAGTTTCCATAACTATTTTAAAGGCTCCGAGATTGTGGTGGCAGGAAAAGTGGACCCTGATAAGCTGGAGCAGCTCCAGAGTGTGGTCACTGCAACTTCGGTATTTGTGCTCATCTGCTTCCTCTAGAAACACTGACTGGTCCCCTGGATACAGCCCACCTGCTATGTTAACAGGCTGATACTCTGGCTTCCAAGAGTCACATATGCCGAATAAAAGCAATAAGTAAGGGGGAAGGGTATAGCTCAAGCTTAGCATGCCCGAGGTCCTGGGTTCAATTCCCAGTTCCTCCTCCAAAAATAAATAAATTTAATTACCTTCCCCTACCAAAACAAAAAGCAGAAAAATCAAAGCATATCAAATATGTTAAAAAAAAAAAAAGGAAGTGAAATAAAAGCCATAAGTGAAAGAGAGGACATGAGCATATCTGTGCCATGTTCCCAACTATTGTATAAATCCTTACCTTTTCATCCCAAACACAGTCCCCAAATCCAGAGGTGTGCACTTACTTCCTCTCGTGCATCCTTTTGAATTGTTTTGCATTCCCCGTCTAGTCACATGGTACCCCACGCCTCACAGGAGGTACTCCAAAAAGTGTGAATTGATGAGCTCCAGTTCTGCTGCCCTGGTGTCTTTCAACTGAACCACTTGTCATCCAGGCTAACACAGAGCTGGTCTTGGAAACCCTGGCCCAGATGGACGGCTTGGAGGATTTCCTCTCCAAGGACAAGCATGCGGATCCGGATTTCACCAGGAAGCTGTGGGCCTACCTGACCATCAACCAGCTGCTAGCCGAACGGTAGGAAGACATACCTGAGGGATTTGCAACAGTAAAAGGTTTGGCTTGAATAGTTGAAGTAACAGACAAAGAGAGTTTGGAATCAAGACATGCAGCAAATTATTACAGTGTTTCAAGCCTTTTCACTAAACCCGGGCTCACTCTTACTTTCTTGACGTACAACACACATACAGTAAAGTGTGTGACGTGCATTCATTGTCAATGTACAGTTTAATGAATTTTTATGTGCATCCCCCACCTAGTCAGCACCCAGAGTCAGATACAGATTTCTTTCATCTTTGACGTTTCTTTCATTCTCTTCCACTCAACACCCACCTCCCACCTCGAGTGGAAGTCCCTGTTCTGACATCTGTCACTGTCAGTTACTTTTGCCTGTGACTACATTTCATACAGTGACACAAACTGTGTCCTTTTCTTTCTGGCTTCTTTCACTCAATATGATGACCAGTTTCATCTCCGGCTTCTCGGTTGACCTGTATTTAAACTCTCCAATATAAAACCTTTATTTCTAGAGTACTGTATGGTTCTCTGACCACCTGTATCAGAATTACAGGGGGGTGTTTGGATAAGGAAAGTACTGTTCTCGAACCCCATGCTACCTGTTTGATTCTCAGAAAGGTGGAGCAGGGTCACCTGAACTAGGTTGGGAAAAACGAAATACGGCCGTAATAACTGTGCTCAGGAAACCCGCGATGTCAAATAGGATTGTAAGTCAGACGCGAGGCTGTAAGCTGTGGCTTTGAAGTGAGTGCGAAACGTCCCTGCCCCTTTACAGAAACGACTGGGTGCGTGTAAAGGTATATAGCAAATTGCTGCAGAAGCTAAATATTGATTTTCTAAAAACAATCCCCATAAAGTGGTTCAGTGGTTGCCGGGGGCAGGGGATGAACAGGCAGAGCACGGGGATTTTCAGGGCGGTGAAACTAGTCCGTCTGATATTATAATGACGCATGTCTGTTACTGTGCATTCATCCAAGCCCACAGAATGCACAACCCCGGAGTAAACCCTAGCGTCAGCGCGGGCTGTGGGCGACCAGGACGTGTGGACGTAGATGCATCCGGTGTAACAAGTGGACCACTCGCGTGGGTGACGCTGAGAAAGCGGAGGCTGCCGCGCTGGGGAGGGGCAGGGAGCGTCCGGAAAATCTCTACTTTCTGCTCAGTTTGGCCGCAAACCTAAAACTGCTCTAAAGGATCATCTATTTAAAAACTTCCTTAGGCCTGCCTGGCTGGAGAAAACACTACGCTTCATGAAGCCCTTTACTTGTGTTTTAACCCCGTGGCCCCCAGGGTCCCGGCTGAACCCGGGAGTGGGGGGGCTGTGCGGCTTCAGTGCAGCCGGGCGTGCAGTGATGCTCTGTGGTGTCTCTCTCTCCTGAACACAGGAGCCTGGCTCCTACAGCGGCTGTTAAACGGGAAATTACAAGGACAATCCTGCAGATGTCCCTGGAGCATCACATAGTGACGCCCCTCACGGCGATGGTGATTGAGAACGAGGTGGGGGATGAGCGCATGCTGGCCGACTCCCCTCCACAAGACTCTTCCTGCTGTCCAGGTCAGTCTAGCTGCCTGGGGCAGCTTTCTTACCCTGAGTCAAGGTCCCCCAGTCCCTGCTGTCTGCACCTCCTGCCCAGCTCTTGTGCCCAGTCCTGTGTCCCCAGATGCCTGAGCTCGCCCTGTCAGTTTACTCTGAGGACAGTTTACTGCCGTGGTCTCCCGATGTGTCTGCTCCCTTGGCCCCCAAAGGAATTCCGAAAACCTGTGTCCCCACCACACGCATTGTTTAAATCAACATTAATTTTTTTTGACTTTGTTTAAACAGTTGCAACAAATTTCATTTGGGGCAAGTTGAAAATATGGAGCTTTAAAAATAAAACCATTACATCACTGTTTCAAGTGTATTCAATGAAATGGAATACCTAATTTGATAGTTATCCATTTAAAAAAATACATGAACAAATTTGATTTTAATTATCAGAAATTTTATATCGTTCTTTTTTCCTAGTTGAACTTCTTTTTCCATTCCGTTTTCCTGGCAGAATTAGATCCTAATGTAATATATTTTCATGCTTGAAAGTCTTTCATTGCTCATCCTACTCCTCTGCAAGAAAAAATATCTTTCCAAATTGAAATTTTTTTCAGTTTCTTGTGACCGTAAGATTCTGAGTGTTCCAAGTTTCCTTCTAGACTGAGTTTTCTTAGAACTGCAGAGAACCCTCTAGCAGGCCCACACTGTGTGGATGACAAAAGGAACTGGAAGAGGGAGGACTGGGGAATAAAAATAATGGACAAAAACCTTAGCTGAGAACCTCTGGGGTCGGTCTGCATGAAACAGATTCCAGAAATTATAAGCAACTTCCACAGAAAAGTAAACTTGGAAACTGATGGAGACGGGTTTTCCTACACAGGTGCCCTGTTCTATGGCAGCAAAGTTCCTCCAAATGCATTGCCGTCGTGGGCCAGCCCTTCGCCAACACCGGTGATCCCCATGCCTGCAGTGGGAGCACAGGTGCTTGAGACGACCCCCCCTCCACACGTGATAAGAGGTAAACGGCCGTCCACACTGCTCCCACATCCTGGATCTCAATCGGATCATAATTTTGTGGAGCATTTATACACGTTAAAAAAAAATCCTGGTAAAGTAGGTGACTTTCACAGGTATTATTGCCTCCCATGGAAAAAAAGATGGCCCCAGGTATTAGCCAGCTTGAGCCACCTTAATAAGATACCATAGACTGGGTGGTTTAAATAACAGAAGCTCATTCCTCAGAGTTCCGGAGGCTGGAAGTCCAAGAGCAGTTGTTGGCAAGGCAAATTTCATTTTCTTGGCTTGTAGGCAGCACC